TTACAGTGCAATCTTATTTAAAGCAGAACAATACCTGCACAGTATGCAAGCTGGCATGTGACTGGCTTCACAAGTTTGTAAACATAGTAGTTTCCATAGCAGTGTTTGACATGGATGATGTGTGACTCAAATTTGCAGCAGTTGCCTTCCCAAGAACTGCACACAGTGCGAGTTAGAATTTCACCCGACTGTGTGGGATGAGGTTGTGTTATCCACAGTGGAGCATGAGTTCCACACCTGTTGGGGTCTAGACACCTCTCTGGAATATGAGCACCAGATTCCCCCAGAAACAGGCGATACCAACCTTGCCAGTCAATGTTTTTATCACAGTGTAGGACCTGAATATCTGTGTTATTCGTTGAACGCCAGTCATCATTCAGTACAGTGTAGTTATGACAGGGGTCAACACACTGGGAATTACTGCAGTCCATCCCTGAAAGACAAAAAAGACAAAGGCTTTTTACTGCTAGCCAAATTCACCCATATTCATACAGCACTTTATTCTGTGCTTCAAGCACTTTTCTAGCATACGCACTGGGGGCTGCACGGCATAAACATGTTAACGAGCTAATCGCGCCAACACATTGATGGCGTGCAGCCCTCTCACAGGGCGATTCCCGTTAACTTGCTAATGAAGATTTGCTGCCTTAATGCAGTTATAGCGTTAACGTCATTTTAACGAGATTAATGCTGACAGCACTAATTTATATTAAATATCCTCCTATGCTTCTTAGTTTGTTTTTTTCATTAGTTATCTTTAGATTTAATTCCTTTTAAGTTTTATTATTTATCGTATCTTCTATGTAAAATATCTTCTGGGTTCTGTTCTTGTATTTGTTTGACACTAGTCTCCTTAGTGTTTTTTTATTGGATCCCTGTCTCTGTGTTATGGGTTTTTTTCAATGTATTTGTTTAGTTTGGTAGTCTTCTATCTCTTGTGCTCTATATTTACTTTTTCTTCCTTAGTCCCCTGTTCCCTGATAATTCCACTTGTGTTCCCACCTGCTTATTCTTTTCCCTCATTAGGCATTAATATACACTATATTCCCAAAAGTATTCACTCACCCATCCAAATCATTGAATTCAGGTGTTCCATTGTCACAGACATATAAAATTGAGCACCCAGGCAAACAGACTGCTGCTATAAACATTTGTGAAAGTAAGGGTCACTCTCAGGAGCTCAGTGAATTCCAGCATGGTATCGTGAAAGGATGCCACCTGTGCCACAAATCCAGTCATGAAATTTCTTTACTACTAAATTTTCCACTGTCAGCTGTTAGTGTTAGTATAACAAACGGGAAGCTATCAGGAGCGACAGCAACTCAGCCACAAAGTGAAAGGCCAGGTAAAATCACAGAGTGGGATCAGCAGATGCTGAGGTGCATAGTGCCCGGAGCTTGCCAACTTTCTGTTCAGTCATTGGCTACAGACCGCCAAACTTCATGTGGCCTTCAGATTAGCTCAAGAACAGTGTGTACAGAGCTTCATGGAATGGGTTTTCCATGATCACCAAGCACAATGCACAGCGTCAGAGGACTCTAGAGCATTAACGTGATCTCCGGAGTGACAAATCACACTTTGTCATTTGGTAATCCAATGAGTCTTAAGAGACACACACGAGCATTCTCCTTCAAGGGATTACAAATCTGCATTCGCTTGTGATGTTTTCACTTACCTGTATGGATGGAACTTTCTGCGTTGGCGAGGCCAATGGTTCCATGCAGGCCTGTGAAAATGATAAATATTATACACTCACTATATTCCTGTAAAATACAGCAATATGTTTTATGTTCGTCAAATTCAAAAGAGATGAACTTCCTGATTCTTCCTGACATGTACACAAACCATCTGCTGAGGAAGATTTAATTAAGATCCGGCAAGAGAGAAAATGGATTTAATTTATTGGTCTGGGATGACATCTTAATTTCCTTTTAGTGCGTTTCTTTGTCAAATGACATTTTTTAAACTGTTGGCTAGCACTTCAAGTTCTAAGTTTAACACTTGAGCGATGTTATTCCCCTTGGTGTTGATAAATATGCATGCAAAAAAAGATTGTTGCTTTGTAAACATTTTCTAAACGGAAGAAAAAGGAGGAGGAACCAACTTTCTGGGTAGTTTTGAAAATTATGGTATCATTTAACTGCTTATAAATATCTGAGCCGAGGTCTCTTTTAAGACTCTTTTCTCTGGTTTGTTATGAAGAAACAGTGCAGTTTAAGTGGTTGTACAAGTTAAACTGCACTTTTTGAAATAGTATGGAAGAAAAACATCTTCATATATTATAAAGATTATTTCTAGGGAGCAAAGTGGGAGGAAACTAACAAAAATAAGCTGCAAAC